AAGTGCAGTGCAGGTGTGGAGACTACTTAAATGTGTGGTGTACGGTACAACTTGACAATATACACAACAAGGAAAATAAATAAAAAAGGAAAACAGGAAAGCAGTTATTCAAAAAAAATGGAGTCTCAGTGCAGTTTTCTATTTTGCAACATTGGGTAGTAGAGCATTAAATCCCTATTTGGCCATGGGAAGTACTGCCATGATAAGTGTCCCAGGCTGTAGGGCTGAGTTGAATAAATTGAGACAGGTGTTGTCTTGTATCCTTATTGTTTGTTTACTGGAACATTCAGATATCTTTGAATCTGTACCACTGATTTACAAGGGGTCATAAAAGTGTAACTTACAACTACAAGCAGAGTGAAACTGGACACCAACCTAAACAAAGTAATTAATGTTTCTCCAATCAATTGAAAAAGGCATGCTGACACCCAGTCACAAACAGATTAAAGAAAATCATTTAGTGACCACTAAGTAATTTGTATTTCAGACTCTCGCAAATTCACTCAAATATTCCAGAGAAACATATATTTTCACAAGTGAGATTACTGTCAAAATTTAAGACTTCTCCTAAGGGAAAGTTTGTTTTGGGATGACGTATGTAGCTAATTGGACCTTCATGAAGCAATGTGTGATGAACATAAGCTTACATTTGTACAATATTGACTTGAATTTCTTGATAATGTACAGTTTTCAATAATTATTCCATTATAAGCTCGGGAAATTGTAACGCTGTTAATCGCTCATCTATTTAATTTACACGAAACGTGGGAAATTATAACAAGTTAGCTTAATTCCCCAAAACAACATCAGTTTGGCGATTTAATCAGTGTTCCGTAAGAAATGACTTGGCAATATAAATGAATCAACTATTTCCACCAAGTATACAATCTTATTTATCGCTAGGTGTGATTGTCTCGTGATGAGGCATATGCTTCATCAAAAACGGCGAATCACTTACTTGCAACGTAGTTAAATGTTTATCGTTGAACTTGTCTTGTACATAACGAAGCATGAGGGAAGTTTTCCCAACGCAGCCCTCTCCTAACAGAACCACTTTGAACTGGTTTTTCCGCGACGCCCCAGCCATCAGTAAGATTTTTTATCAGTTCGCAAGCTTAACTCTTCACCAGATGCGCAACGCAAGAGGATTTTTTGCTGTTTCGAGGTTATTTCAGCTAGGTGCCGGACGCCATTTTCAGTCTTAAAACACTGAAATCGTCCTCGTGACATTGACGTCAACTTGTCGATCGTCACGGAAATAAGTTCGTTGTGCTTCGGAGAAAACTCGTAAGGAAAAGCGTACCTTTTGCTACAATTCGATTTGGCTTACATGAGTGTGACAATGCAATTCGTTTCTTCGCTGATCGCAGGCTCAACAGGTAAACCTTCAAAGTTTGAAAGAAGGGAGATCACACGTGTTTGAGTGGAAAATTGTACAAAAATGGTAATTTTTCTCTTTAATGGTATTTAAACAGTGTACAGAACCAGACTAATAACATGTTAAATTTGGATATCAACTTTTATGGCCAGGTTTCACTCAACCCAGTTCAGATTCTCAACCAAGGTGCGGAAGAGGAGCGAGCGGAGACAGCTCGTCTTGTGAGTGCAGAAAACATTTTTTGTTGGAAATTTAGCTCGTTTCTTTTCATTTGCTGTCGTGGCTTCCCTAAAGTCGTTTCTCTGAGGTTACTCTATGTCTTTCTTTGAAGCTTTTCACCTAAAAAGACGACGCTGCTGTTCTTTTCTCTTGAGAAGCTTGTTTGCAAATCGAATCTGTCACACCCAGCTTTTACTCTTAATTGTCGAATTCCTGACAGATTGAAAAGTGTACAGATTTGATCTAAGTGTTTGCCTTTTAATTCTGTACTTTCAGTCGTCTTTTGTTGGTGCCATTGCCATAGGAGACCTCATCAAGAGCACTCTTGGTCCAAAAGGAATGGTAAAGATTTCTATATATATTATAACTTATTTATTTTTATTACCACTGACTTAGTAGTTCAGAGTGTATTTTTACGAGAACTGTAGAAATTCTCGCACGCGCATTGGCTAATTTTCTTTGTCAATAAGAAAGTTGTACCTTTTGTAATAATCACAGCCACACTGCAACCTATCTTTTATACACTCATTAAACAAGGAGTATTATGCTAAGCAACTTTGCTTATAACAGAAAATAGTCAGTATGCAGTTTTTTATGATTCTGATTTCAGAGTTTTCTTGTCATTTTTAACGATACTACAATGTATAAGTAGATACATGTTGATAGAACTTTGTATGAAGCCAAATGTTCAGTCAATGTATTTTTCTTTGTTTTCTTTGCTTCAAGAACTGTCAAAGGTTCAGGACAATGAAGTTGGAGATGGTACAACAAGTGTGACAGTTTTAGCTTGTGAATTACTCAGGGTATGATAACATGACATTTCACTGTATACCAGTATATTTACACTGTTGGGCCACTTGTTTATATACTGTCAAATCCCTTAAATTCAGACAGCAAAGGGCCCACTGTTTGTTTTATGGAAGTGTCCATTTTTGCTCATACAGGTACAGAATATATGAATGCTGGTTTCTCTGGGAAGTAAAGTGAACTGTCCATAATATAGAGCTGTCTTATATCAAATAGAGCTTTTGGATTTCTTGTTTTTTTTCTAAGAAGTATGCCTAGCTATATCAGAATATACGTCAAACCCTTTCCTATTCAAGCCTGATGTGGTCAAAACAATTGTTGCAGCTTCAAAAGACATACTCGTTGGTTGCATGCATATCGTCTGTAGATTATTTAAGAATTGGTTCATGCTTAGCCTGCGAATATCGAGTTATGGATGCATGCAGGAAGTTTGGAGAGCACAAAAGAAGTGTAAGAGTTGTGGAGGCGACAGGCGAGAGCAACTGTAGCTTCTTGAGTGCTCTCCAAACTTTCCAAGTGCATCCATAACTTGATATACGCACAGCTAAAAGCATGAACCAATTCTTTTATAACATGGCAACAACAACTTGGGTGCTAAAACATGTTTTATTTGTGATTGACTACAAAGTTCTCACAATGCATGGTGAAGAAAAAGAAAGATCATTAGGATCCTAACACACCATAATCAGTTGAGCAACAGTTGAGCAAAAACGCTTAACCTGGTTTCTAAAATTGTCAACGAAAAATTCACTTCTTCGAATTAATGATAACGAAAATGTAGGAAGACACAGTCAAAAATACTCGATAAAAATGTAAACAAACAAAGTCAAAATACTCGCGTTTAAGTAAACATCTTAGCTTGGCAAAAGTCAAAGGCTCAAAGTAGAGTTTGGATTGTTCAGAATAATCTTCACATTGCCGAAACTTAAACAAAAGGAACTTGCACCAAACTCGACAGAAATTTTGCAGTGAAATTGAAACTGCATACGTCATCTTATACATGCACGGCCATGCGCACATAGAGATTTCGTTCATGATGGCTCAATAGGAATTAGATAGGACTAGGACGCTCGCTATGTTATAAAGCTTAATGTCCATGTGAGAGAGTAGTAACTCCCCATGCCTGATAGCATATTTTGCACATGTACAGTCATGTATTTAATTCTTAGAGTAAAGTTTAGCTACTTCTCTCCTGTTATTTTTCTGTCGCCAACATTTTCTTCCACCTCCTTTCACTGTACTCCAGGAGGCTGAAAAGCTTGTGTCATGCAAGGTACATCCCCAGATTATTGTGTCAGGATGGCGGAAGTCCGTGCATGTTGCTCAACAAGCTCTGGAGGCTGCAGCAGTTGATCACAGTAGTGATGAGCAGAAGTTTAAGGAAGACTTGATGAACATCGCCAGGACAACACTCAGTTCCAAAATATTGATGCAGCATAGAGATCATTTTGCAAATCTTGCCGTTGAAGCAGTGTTAAGGCTCAAGGTAAAAGAGATCTACTGTACATCTAAATTTATTACAATACATTCATCTGTGACTATTTAAGCCTTCAGTTGATGAATAAACTTTTTCCAGTAGTAGGAGTTTGGAACGAGAATACCCAGGGGAAAAAAATTGGTTTGTTTAATATTATATACAATATACAGTTTAATCTATTTAGTACAGTGTATATACACCATTAAACATCACAGCTTATCATTATTGTAGTAACAACTTTTGTCTGATGCTTGTTTAGAACTTTTTTCTCTATTGTGTGTAAAACTGTTGTTTGGTCACTGCTTTCAGGGCAGTGGAAACTTGGATGCTATTCAGATTATCAAGAAACTAGGTGGAAATCTTGTTAACTCATACCTGGATGAAGGTACATTGTAGCTTGATCTTTACATAGAGGAAGTAGAGTAGTCATAAACTAAGTTGACTGTACTTCATCCATTTTCATTAAATTCCAGTTTTCCAATCAACTGACCATGCTTTTCCTTTAATTAAAACAGGATTCTTACTGGATAAGAAGATTGGTGTAAATCAACCAAAAAAGATAGAAAATGCCAAGATTCTAATTGCTAACACAGGGATGGACACAGATAAAATCAAGGTGAGTTTTAAAGGCATTTATGTGGAACCTACTCACTCACTTAAATTAATTACTTAAGCATGGAACAGTTTTCACAGGGTTGTCACAGGATTGACTGTGCACTTCAAATACACATTTTAATGTTCAGTTCCATCTTTCAAAAGGTATTTGGTTCCAGAGTTCGAGTGGAGTCTACTGCAAAGATAGCAGAATTAGAGCTTGCAGAAAAGGTTTGCTTTCTAATTTACAGCTGTCTTTTTTAACACCTTGGTTATGTAATCCTTATGGCTATTGTTCCTCATTGTGTTAATTCTTCCTTTTTGCTTTAATCTCATTTTGAATTTTTCATAGAAATTGAAGACAAACTAATGACTGTTTTCATTGTCCATGTATAGCAAAAGATGAAAGAAAAAGTGGAAATGATACTTAAACACAATATCAATTGTTTTATTAATAGGTGAGTTTTTGAACTACCTTTAACTTCAATAATTATTATGTACATGTGGACAAACAATGTATTTTCTGTTGTTTTAATGGTTTGTTTTGTTGTTGTTGTTGTTGTTGTTTCTTTTATCAGAGATATAATAATCATGTATATAGCTTTTTTATCACATAAATTTCTCTTATTATTGTAATAGTTGTAATTTTTTTAGGTAGGTGTCCACAATTAGTAGAGGGGACGCTTCCCCTCAGCTAAACATTTTAGACACGGTAATAGTGTTTTATTTTATATATTTATTTTATTATACATGACCAACAAAGGGGACATACCGTTAAGTGTATTATAAAGTTCACATACTGATTATAATTTTATTTCAAAAACCATTTCAGACAACTCATCTATAATTACCCAGAGCAGTTGTTTGCTGATGCTGGTGTTATGGCCATTGAACACGCTGACTTTGAAGGTGTTGAAAGATTAGCTTTGGTTCTAGGTATGTTCCTTCAATCCACATAGATAGAAGCATTTCAGAGGTACAATGTGATTTAACTTCAAATTTTGAGGGTCAAAGTTTTCTTTTAATTGATATTTATTGCTGCATGTGTAGGTGGAGAAATTGTATCAACATTTGGCCGGCCTGAGCTTGTGAGACTTGGCGAGTGTAAATTGATTGAGGAAGTTATGATCGGTGAGGACAAGGTGAGTTTCTGGGAATGGATGTCGTTTTGCTTTGTGTTATTTTATTTTGTGCCTGTAAGATTTGCGGAAGTTTGTTTCTTTATTGATATCACTTGTAAAATCAATCCATTTCCATCCTTGTCATCACCAGCAATCCTTGCTTTCCAGTATTTTCCTGACATCAGTCCAGTACATGTAATTTTTGAAACTACACAGTCATGTAATTTGTATTGCTGGAAAATACATCCCTTTGTTTGTTTGCGCTCTTGCGATCTTGCTTCCCATCCCTTACTCAAGTGCAACCTTGTCCCAGAGGTTTCCCACACCCAAGACAGACTGGGCAATGGCATATGCACGTAATCAAATGATGTAGTAATTTTGTGTTTGAATCACTTTTGATATTTATTTTCTTTATTGTAGTTGTTGCATTTTTCTGGCTGCAAACTTAATGAGGCATGCACCATTGTAATCAGGGGAGCCACACAGCAGATCCTTGATGAAGCTGACCGTTCACTTCATGATGCACTGTGTGTGCTCACACAGACAGTCAAGGAAACAAGAACAGTGTGTGGTGGAGGTACGGCAACTCGATGCAGACCCTTAATTATTAACAGTATGGATATAACAAAACAGCAGTGTGACCGACTGTTTAGGGTGCCGTTCTGACCACTGGCTGCTGTTGTTCTTGGTAGTCCCAAGTTCAATTCCTCTGTCACACTTCTAAAAAGCCAACTGTTCTGCCTCCTGCTAGTCTCCTCTGCAGCCGTTTTTTGGGATGTCAAGCAACGCTCCCCCAAAGAAACGGCTGCTCACATCCGAACAACATTCTTTTCCTTTTGTGTTTGTGGTTTGTTTGCGCTCCGTTGAACAGACCAGTCACATAATAGCAAAGTGTGAATGACGAAAGCTTTCGCGCGAAATGGCCTGCGGTGCAAACACGCGAGGGATTTCTGGTTTTTGTTTCACGCCGCACGTAGCCAAAAATAGGCGGTGTTCGCAGGCTACCATCATGACGGACGAAAAAAAAAAAGTAAATGAAAGCCCTAAGTACAAGTGCTTCATGCGCTCATCGCTATGTT